TTCATTTATGGGCATATCTTTTGGTCTATCACAAAAACATTCAAAGGCATATTGCGTTCTGGTAAAACACTTCTATCGCATAAATCACATCCAGGACTTGTGTCTGTATCACTATCAGATTCTATACAATTTCTTGCACACGAACGTTTCACTGGTAATGAACATCACTGCCACTATCATCGTCCGTTTTCAATTTCCCCATTTTCATCAAAATTTGATTTCAACAGATTATTCTTTGAATCGTCCTGCACAACTCTCCATCTGAACTTTGTTGTCTTTCATATTGCAAATATGCTGGTCTGAGTGTGTATCATTTTTACATGTATTTGTATCAAGTCCTTGGTCACCTGCATTCATCGATATCTTTGTATCCTGCTTCTCATTCTTTACTGCTAATTCTATTCCTTCATCTTTGTCAAATCTAATCTCCGATTTATCAGAAGAGTGATTTCCATCAGTACCTTTTTTCCCTTTGGAAGACTGACCTTTCTTGTTCCTTGCTCGACCTTTCTTGTTCTTTGCTTCTTTTTTCTTGCCACCAGCATGAACTCTGTACTTTCGCAAATCCTTGATCTGTTCAAAAAGATTACAAGTACATACATCGATATCAACACATGTATCTGTTCTAGATTGAGTTGGCAAATTGCTTGCTATGTCTGCCCAGGATCGTGTTTGTGCTGTTTCACTTTGCACACACATGTCATTATACAACTTCATTGCATGTGGGGACTGCACACTGTAGGCATATAAACCTAAAAGAGTTTCTGTGTAAGATTGAACACTGATATCTTTTTTCTCGGATTTCACCTTCTTTTCTTTACAATCAACTTTCTTTCGGTCTTCCTTTTTTTTTCTGCTATGGCTTTCATAGAATGTCTTCATTGCTTTGCCGATGTAAGTTACCCAGGTTCTAAGACTTTGCCATTCACCGATTTTCTTCTGATTTTCCTGTCTGTTTGATGATCATCTATTGATTTGGGATACAATTTTCTTGATTTTAGTTTCTCCACCCATTTCGTCTTCCTTGATTTCACAATTAACCCAGTCATCCTCAAATTTTTCATTTTGCATCTCTTCGTGTTCTATTTGGGATGAATTTTCCATAGCCAAAGGATTATGTCTATCAGACTCATTTGTTTTCCTGTCAGTTATATGATTTGTGTTCCTCTCAATCGATTGGTTTTCTTTCCCTTTTTACCATACCTCTTCTTTGATCTGCCACATTTTCTTTTGTTGGTCGTACTTGATAGGGTCCTTGATTGGTTCAAATCCAAGTAACAGTGTTCATCATGATCACCAAGAAGTTCGTATCTATTGAAATGAGAAGGGATGCATACTTGATCAAACATGCGATGAGCCATGTTGTTATTTCCACAAAATGAACAATCCAGATCAATGTCAGGTCACTCAGTCTGTCTTCACAAGGGAATCCCATACATGTCACATGAAAATGCTTACTACAACAGTCACATCTTGCATCACTTTCATTTTCTTTGATTTCATTGTTACAGATACAGCATTCATTAAGCTTTGGGTTGGTCACCAATGCACAACTAGTCAGTATATCATGATTTCATCAAGTGTTTTCTTAAATTCAATTGTATCCATCATGGTAAATTTTGCTTATATACTTGCAACAGTTCTGGTTAATAATTACAAGTCTACAATTAACGGTTCTGTAACTTTGATATATAATGTTCTGTATATATTCCTTACTCCAATAGTCTTTTATTTAAATATTCCTATTGTGAATTATGAAAAACTAATCCTTACTGATATTAAACTCTATGGTATTTCAATAGCCTAGCTTTATATACACTAGCTTGTACTGTGTTAAGGAGCTATAATGTTTTTGTCTCAAGATGGCGTTTTTTATTAAAATTATGAGTAGGTCATTAATAGCCTAAATGTATTGTAGGCCTATATAAGTTCCAAATTGCTATTTCTTTGTTACTCTCTCTCTGCAAACAGGTTCACTTTATATCCTGACCAAAATATCTTTCTTATTCTCTCTCAAATCAATCAACCTCACTTATATTTTTAAAACTATATATATATCCTGACCCAATCTTCTTTCTTACTCTCTCTGCAATCAAGCTTACTTTTATTTTTAAAATTCTGAACACTATATATCGAAGGATTTCTTTCCTTTTCTCTTTACAATCAACCACGCTCACTTTTCTAGGACTCTATATATTGACACAAATTTTTTGTGATTATGGTCTTATCAAGTTCTAGGAATTAGAATTAAATTGCTTTCTCGCTGTTGTTCTTCTTTTTATTTCAGTTTGCTTTTAATTCCTTTTAGAAACTGCCAATAATTTCTTTCTAATTTACAGTAATTATGTCTTCTAAAATGGCAATACAGTCTTTCAAACTTGCAATATTGCCTTCTTCACACTATTTTGTTCAATCTTCTTTATTCTTTGCTGTGTATACGCTCTTTTTACTTTCCCAAGATTACTAATACTACTGTTTTTGAATTCTAATAGAGGTCTTATCAAGTTCTAGGAATTAGAATTAGATTGCTTTTTCTCTATTGTTCTTCTTTTTATTTCACTTTGCTTTTAATTCCTTCTAGAAACTGCCAAGATTTTGTTTCTAATTGACAGCAATTTTGTCTTCTAAAATCGTAATACAGTCCTTAAAACTTCCAATATTATCTTCAACGACTACTTTCCAATCTACTTTACTCTTTAAAATGTATACCTCTTTTTTTCTTTCCAAGATTTACAATATTACTGCTTTCAACTGTAATTATGGTCTTATCAAGTTCCAGGAATTAGAATTAAATTCCTGTTCCTCTATTATTCTTCTTTTATTATTTCAGTTTACTTTTAATTCCTTCTAGAAACTGCTAATAATTTCTTTGTAATTGACAATAATTATGTCTTCTAAATGGCAATACAGTCCTTCGAACTTCCAATATTTATCTTGAACGACTACTTTTCCAATCTACTTTACTCTTTAAAATGTATACCTCTCTTTTTTTCTTTCCCAAGATTTACAATATTACTGCTTTCAACTGTAAGTATGGTCTTATCAAGTTCCAGGAATTAGAGTTTAGATTCCTTTCCCTCTACTGTTCTTCTTTTTATTTCAGTTTACTTTTAATTCCTTCTAGAAACTGCCAATAATTTCTTTATAATTGACAATAATTATGTCTTCTAAAAATGGCAATACAATCTTTAGAATTATTCTGTTCCAGTTTTGATTCGATTCAAGATTTCCAGATTCAAGTTTCATTCAGTATGTTTCAGATTCAAGGTTCAAGATAGTTCAAGTTCAAGTGCTAGTTCAAGTGTAAGTTCAAGAGCAAGTTCAAGTGCAAGTTCTTTGGAGAGTTCAAGATAGTTCAAAATAGTTCAAGATAGTTCAAAATAGTTCAAGATAGTTCAAGATAGTTCAAGTGCAAGTTCAAGTTCAAGTGCTAGTTCAAGTGCAAGTGCTAGTTCAAGTGTAAGTTCAAGTGCAAGTGTAAGTTCAAGTGCAAGTGTAAGTTCAAGTGCAAGTTTAAGTGCAAGTTCTTTGGAGAGTTCTTTGGAGAGTTCTTTGGAGAGTTCTTTTTGGACAGTTCTTTGGAGAGTTCTTTGGAGAGTTCTTTGGAGAGTTCTTTGGAGAGTTCTTTGGAGAGTTCTTTGGAGTGTACCACCCTCGGTCCTGCAAAAGACAGAAAGGAAATAAAAAAAAATTAATTAAATTCAATAGACACGTCTGGGCAATTCTTGAGAAATCATCAAGGAGCTCGTAGGATAGAACCTTGTGGTACACCATTTGTTATAGACAAAAAAATTGAGGAATTATTATTATAAACTACATATTGAGATCTATTAGAAAGATTACTTTCAAACCAAAATGACAGACAAATTTTAGTGTTGTTGTTGTAGTTTCCGAGTGGTGAGTCAACACACTGATTACTGAGCTGGGAGACATTGCCAGGCATAGCGCCATAAATCGAAACTAAAAAAAAAAAAAAAAAAAAAAAATCTCTTCGCCGCATAGGCCGCACCCCGACTTTTTGATATTTTCTCTTCCAATAATACTGCGGCCTTTACGCCGGCAAATACGGTAGTCACATTACCCAAAATTAGCCTGCTCGGCGGCCGAGCGGCGAGTTTTTAGCCAATTTTGCCCGGTCACCCGCTCGTTTTTAAGGCATCGCTCGGTCGCTGCTGAAGTTTTAGCGCGGGTTAAAATTCGGGGGGCGGCGCCTGCTCACTTTCACTCGCCGCCCAGACTACGCTCGGCGACCGGGTGGTCGCCGCCCGGACGCCGGCCTAATCGAGCGTGCACCGTCGAGCGATTTAGGTCAACAATCGAAGCCCCTAGGTCAAAGGCTGTCGAGCAGTCGCCGCCCGGTCGCCGCTGGAAGATTAGTCGGTCACTGGGCGGCGAGTCCAAAATAGGTCGGCAGCCTTTGACCTAGCGCCTTCGATTTTTGACCTAAATTGCTCGGCGGCGAACGCTCGATTAGTTCGGTGCCCGGGCGGCGAACGGCCAGGCACCGAGCGTATTTTGGAGCTCCGCCGATCACTGGCCGCCGCCGGGCAATTTCTTTAAAATCAGCCGGGGGCTGGTGGGAGACCGCCCGGCAATCGGAGGGTCACCGTCGGTCACTGCCAGGACACCGCGCGAAAAAGCTCCGCGATTTCGCCCAGTTTTTACCTAAAATCGCTCGGCGACCGGTCGCCGCCCGGACGCCGGCCTAATCGAGCGTGCACCGTCGAGCAATTAAGGTCAAAAATCGAAGCCCCTAGGTCAAAGGCTGTCGAGCAGTCGCCGCCCGGTCGCCGCTGGAAGATGAGTCGGTCACTGGGCGGCGAGTCCAAAATAGGTCGGCAGCCTTTGACCTAGCGCCTTCGATTTTTGACCTAAATTGCTCGGCGGCGAACGCTCGATTAGTTCGGTGCCCGGGCGGCGAACGGCCAGGCACCAGCGTATTTTGGAGCTCCGCCGATCACTGGCCGGCCGCCGGGCAATTTCTTTAAAAATCAGCCGGTGGCTGGTGGGAGACCGCCCGGCAATCGGAGGGTCACCGTCGGTCACTGCCGGGACATCGCGCGAAAAAGCTCCGCGATTTCGCCCAGTTTTTACCTAAAATCGCTCGGCGACCGGTCGCCGCCCGGACGCCGGCCTAATCGAGCGTTCACCGTCGAGCGATTTAGGTCAAAAATCGAAGCCCCTAGGTCAAAGGCTTCGAGCAGTCGCCGCCCGGTCGCCGCTGGGAGATCAGTCGGTCACCTGGCGGCGAGTCCAAAATAGGTCGGCAGCCTTTGACCCTAGCGCCTTCGATTTTTGACCTAAATTGCTCGGCGGCGAACGCTCGATTATTTCGGTGCCCGGGCGGCGAACGGCCAGGCACCGAGCGTATTTTGGAGCCCCGCCGATCACTGGCCGGCCGCCAGGCAATTTCTTTAAAATCAGCCGGTGGCTGGTGGGAGACCGCCCGGCAATCGGAGGGTCATCGGTCGGTCACTGCCGGGACACCGCGCGAAAAAGCTCCGCGAATTCGCCCAGTTTTTACCTAAAATCGACCGGCCACCGACGGGAAATCGACAGGTCACCGCCCAGGCATCGCTGGGGCTCTACAGCCTGCTCGACTTCTCCAACAATCTATCATTTGCACTAGGTGTTTAAAACAAACAAACTTGTTCTTCTTTATCAACTCCTTACATAATTCAAGGATTCTCTTCAAATTTTGGCAACACCCAATGGAAGAGTATTGAGAATTGTCCACAAAATTATGTTACATACCTACGGAAGTGTCATAGAAAATTTCATTAAGCCATAGCTTTCCTATTCCGCGTTCAATTATGTTCCCAATTATGGAGATCTGTTTCATTCCATTGTAGCTTTATTTTAAAAACTACTTGACTTTAGCCTTCTTAAGCAGATCAACTTACTCTCTGCAACTCTCAGCAATCTTGAAAACAGTCAATAACCTGAAAGAAAAAAAGAAAAGAAAAAAACACAATGCATTTCATAAAATACCAATATGATTATATTACAAAAATAAATACAAATAGTGAGCCCTCATTCAATGCTTAAAGATACTATGTCCCTTTTGCAGCCACAATCAAATTCTGTAGAACTTTATAGGAATTATGAATATGTCATGTATGTCCTATCTGTGAAGTTTAAACGTTAGCAGTGTCCTAATATTCAAATTATGCAAAGAAACCCGTTTACTTGCTACATTAGCTTCACTGTCAGACACTATTGAGTGACTCACTAGCTTTTTTCTTCTTTGGAAATAACATACATGTACATAAAATGAGCTGTAAAGGTATATGAGCATTTGTCAACATCAATATCCCACTTCTGCTTGTAATGGCCAAAATTAAACTGATTGAATCTTTGCGCAGCATAAAATGTACGACCATTCGGTACAATGGTCTGAAAATCAGACCATTACTTACTGGCTCTATAGCTCTTAAGTCGATTTGACAACTAATAGTCGTTATTTTCCAACTTAAAGACATTTTCAAGCCCCCCTTTTTTTAGGGAAGTTCTAAATTAGTATTATCTTTCAAATGCTGTTGAAATTTAACCTTTTCATTTTGTTGGCCTGCAAATGGGACATAGTACCTTTGAAGGCAAAGACCAGTTTTGGTCATGCGATTGCATTGTGAAAAAAACGTTGTGGAATCGATCAGAAAAGGTTGCTCAGCTAGCATATAAGTATTGGTGTGATCTGGATCATCAAAATGATGAGATTTGACCCAGTCTTGGTAAAGTTACAAGCACTGTACACAGAAAGATGTATGTGGGACTACGCGACACACACAGAATAATAATTATTTAACTTTTGATTAACACAATAAGACTAACTAGATGGAACTTAGACTGCGTGCAGTCGAAAATGATGCCTCCGCTATAGAGCGATTTTACAAACCAAATCGGAAGCAATTTTTAATATTCAAGTTTGATTGTAATCCATTATCAAGTTTGATTGTAATCCATTATCAGGTTCTCAGAATATTTTGATTACAAGCTATTTCAGTTTGAGAGTAATGCCTCTGGCTACTTTGTAGTGGAGGCATGAAAATCGAGAATGATCTTATCTGTTTGGATTGAAATCAATCATATTGTGATGATAATTTTCATCCATCAAAGTCCTTAGTAACTACCGTTCCAAAGATGGTGAAAATAAACAAGACATACCTCCTCGTCCCCTTCCTCCGCCGAATTCTCCCCTTCCGCGTCCACCGCCGCCTCGTCCACCGAAACAGCGTCCTCCTCCTCCTCATCCACCAAATCCACCTGTAACAAACATTGTATGTCTAGTTAGAATCCACTGTATCGTATTTGTATAATAATTAAAATTATATTATTAAAGGTATAGACCAGTTCTGGTCATGCAATTCAATTGCATTGTGAAAAGAAACGTTGTGGAATCGATCAGAAAAGTTTGATCATCTATAAGTATTGGTGTGTACTGCAAGGTTCTGGAATCATCAAAATGATACAAATTTTGCCCAGTTTTGGTAAATTAAAAGCACTGTACACAGAAAGATGTATATGGGACTATGTGATATCTATCCAGGCCGAATCTATATTTTAACTAGATGGAATTCGACTGCGTGCAGTCGAAAATGATGCCTCCGTCATAAAGCAATTTTACAAACCAAGACAGAAGAAATTTTTCGAATTCAAATTCAATTGTAATCCATTAACAGGTTCTCAGAATATCGTGATTACAAGCTATTTTTGCATACATAATGAGCCCATGACCTTTGACCTTATGAACCAAGAATTTACTCAGTTCATTGGCTCTGCAAGTAACATACATGACCTAATTTTGTCAGGAATCCATCGGTTGGTTCTTGAGATAACGCGATCACAAGCTGTTTTTGCATACATAATGTGCGCTGTGGCCTTTGACCTTTGACCTCGTGACCCCAAAATTTAATCAATTCATCGACTCTGCAAGTAACATACATGACCTAAGTTTGGCAGCAATCCATCAATCGGTTCTTCAGATAACGCGATCACGAGCTGTTTTTGCATACATAATGAGCCCTGTGACCTTTGACCTCGTAATCCCAAAATCTAATCAGTTCATCGGCTCTGCAAGATACATACATGACCAAAGTTTGGCACAAATCCATCAATCGGTTCTTCAGATAACGCGATCACGAAAACGGGACGTACGTACGTACATACAGACGGACGGACAACCCGAAAACATAATGCCTCCGGCTACTTCGTAACGGAGGCATAACAATCAGGGTTTCATTCTCCTTTAAATGAAGTTGGGTGGGGTGGGGCAAGAGGTGGGACACATCACACACAGCACAAACCCATATCCATCGTAATTAATCATAAATTCATCAGATCATTAACAATTGTTATGCTTGGGGACTTCTCGCTCAGCCAAATTGAACAGCCAAATCTTGCACAATCTAATTTTCATACCCTGTACAAAAGTGGCCAGTGCTCATCCAAGTATGAATTATTATCACATGTGTTGGCATCATATGATAGACAAGAGCTTCACCCATCCATACATATGACAATTTCCCGAGAATGTTTCACATTTTTTATTTATTTGGCAGAATATTTAAAAGTTTCAACTTTGATTTTTTTAGACACTCGGTATACCTACACTCCAAAACTTTCTTCTTCCGTCAAAGTCCAAAGCCCCTGTCAAAGTCCAAAGCACCTGTCATCAAAACAAAAATAAAAAGTACAAGTAAAATGACAAAAATATAAAAACAAACAATTAAATAAACCAAGTTAGATTGCATCACAAATTCAACTTTGGTAACAACTAATTTGCATACTTTGATGTCACTCAAACATTTCATAATACAGTCCAACCTCATTATAACAATTCAGTATGTCATACATATCAACCATCAAGGCCCCATGCATAAAACTATCGTATCTTTACAATTAATGATATCTCTACAAACTATGGTAAATACCATTGATTTCTTGATTTTTATTAGCTAAGCAGTGTTTGCAGAGATACCATTAATTGTAAAGATACAATAGTTTTATACCACAGGGCCCTGGACTTGACAAAACACTACCTACCGTATGTACTTTTGATGCTAAATTAACATGCTACAATTGATTTTTCCCCAAAGGTCACCTACATTAATTATCCATCCTGATAGGTTTCTTTCAGATAGCATGAGGGCAGTACAAATATGTATCAAGATTCCATTCATTCTTTTGGAAGCCACCTAGCCATCATCAAAATTGTATTAAAAAAAAGAAGAAAAAAAAGAAAAGAAAGGAGCCCCCCCCCCCCCCAAAATGAAGCGGGCGGGGACGCTAAACATGTAAAAAAAAATTAATGGCCTAACTCAAATCTTTTGGGACCCATAAAATAGCTTTAACTTAGACAAATTTTGATTTAGGACGATCATAAAATAATAGGACAAAACAGGTTGGGCTACGTGTAGACTTTCAACCATAGCAATTTTTGACTTATCCAAGTTCGACTAAGGCAAGGTCAGCTGTACTATATGTATTGCATTGGACTAAAATCAAAATACATCTATCATTTGCACTAGGTGTTTAAAAACAAACAAACTTGTTCTTCTTTATCAACTCCTTACATAATTCATGGATTCTCTTCAAATTTTGGCAACACCCAATGAAAGAGTATTGAGAATGTCCACAAAATGATGTTACATACTTACGAAAGTGTCAAAAATGTTATATAGAAAAATTTCATTAAGCCATAGCTTTCCTATTCCGCGTTCAATTATGTTCCCAATTATGCAGATCTGTTTCATTCCATCGTAGCTTTAATTTAAAAACTACTTGACTTCAGCCTTCTTAAGCAGATCAACTTACTCTCTATTAACAACTAATATCAACTTACCGGTACTAACCAAGTCTCTAAAGAACAGTCAAAACTGAAATACAAATAGAAAAAAACAAAAAAAACAATTACATTGCATAAAATTCCAGAAATGAACATATCACAAAAATAAATACAAATGGAAATAATGAGGCCTCATTCATAATGCTGAATTACATAAATACAACGGCCCGTATTCTGAAGTTGTGTCTAACATAGGTTGCGTTTATCTAGCAAATTTTTGGCTAGAATCAGGTTTCTCAAACGTCTTTCAGGCAAATTTAGAAGTAGATAAACGCAAAGCCTTTTTCAAACGTCTTTAGATATGGGCATATCAAAAGACGCAAAAAGGTGCGTTTTGTATGTGACATACAGCCAGAATCACGTTTCTGAGAGATCGATAAACGCAAAGCTGTTTTGTACCTCACATACAAATAGGACCACACAGGTGTTGTGTACAAGCATACGTGTGAAGTTGACCTCCGAGAAACTGTCTGCTTCCCGGGTCAAACGGAGCTGAGCAGCTGCGAAGAGACAAGGCCTTTATTGTGAATCGTGAAGTGTAGATAAACGCGACATCCCGCAAATCACGATCGTATAGTGGGGTTCGATAGTGGGGGTCGATAGTGGGGTACGATATGTACATATCTAATGGCAAGCCTAGATAAACGCGCCCTTAGTCATGTCTTAAGTTAAACGACTGTTTAGTTAGACACGACTTTAACGCGAGGTCATGTCTAAGTCCTGTTTAACTAAATTTTGTATTCTGAAGTAGTGTCTAAGTCTTGTCTAACTAAACAACTGTTTAAGTCCTGTCTAAGTCGTGTTTAACTAAACTGTTTAAGTTCTGCGCAAGTCGTGTTTAACTTTTAGTCATGACTTCTGCGCATGGCCAATAGGCGTTAATTCTGACGATAGACCCAATGCGCATGCATGCGCGCACCGGATAAATAAATTAACGCGCACAGCTAGCTGTGTGCGTGCTGGTACCATGGTGATGTGATCGTGACGTAATGACTAGACTGCATGTACTGTGTACGTAGTACATATGTACTGTACGTACTCAGACCTGCCAACCTCAAGAGTTCAAAAACTGTATTCTTTAATCCCAAAAGTTGTATTTTACTGACAAAAGTTATATTCTTAAAAATAAACACGGACTGTGACATGATGGATCAATGCCTCTTACAGTTCCTACAAACAGGAAGAAAATTTGTTATGGATCATTGGCTGAATATGCATGATTTTGTCACGACTGGTGTGTTCAATGAACCAATGAACATCCCCAAATGGCCGATGTGAGATGCTTGTAGGATACTTTAGAGGTCAGAATGGGCATTTTGCCATTAGTAATGGCACACACACAGAATTTTAAAAAATATATAAAAAAAAAAAAAAAATTTAGGGCGCAATTTCCCCCCCCCCCCCCCTTTTATTTTACTTTTGCCTTGGATTTAGGCCTGTTTTGACTTTTGGATTTTATAATGAAGCCAGGAATTTCAGCTGTCTGATGTGGACTCGTCTCTAGACCCACTGTATGGATTTTATTTTTATCAAGGCAATGAATCCCATTGACTTTTTGGTAAGCCTGCAAGGTCTTAGTAGGGAGGCCAATGCCCGGGCGTAAGGCTTCTACGCCTACGATTTGTGCGCTCGTCGTCCAAGTCAGAAAATTACCAGAAGAAAAAAAAAAGGGGGAAAAAAAAAGAAAAAAATATCTATGGAATAAAATGTATAACAAATACACAATTACACACTCCACAACATACCTATAATCTCGGATCTGTAACGGTCTTTCACCATTTATTGACGATCTTCCAGATTTTGACATATTTTAATCCATTTATTGGGCTAGCAGACGAAAATAACGGACGCACAAGAGAACTAGAAGGGTCCTAGAGGGCGATGAGGTTAGCTCACTAAAATCCTTCTCAATGACTGAAGGTAAAGCCTAAAAATATGGAATCAATTTAATATCAAAGAACTTTTGATAGAGATTAACATATCAGATGTGCACAAATGTCACTTTTAACAACTAGAAAATATAAAGAAAAAAGATTATATCTTTTTAATTGCAGATTTTTACAAACTGCACATTCGAAGGTAGATAGAGTACGATGTTTTTGTCAATCTTGCGTCGGTTTGAGCCCCATAGCTAGAGCCATCTCAAATTGAGAAGAAAAACTGTGAACAGAGACCTCATTGTTCCAGCCCCAAATAGAAGTCTTGCGACATCATTATATGAATATGTATGAGCTCCGGTCTCATCGCGCGCAAAACAAATTTGACGTAGTCTCACACATAGTACCTTATTCTCAGCACTAGACACCAGTGTCGTGCAGTAATGTATGAGAAGTGTAACAAAAGACATTTCAGTAAAAAAAAAAAAGTCTATGTGAGCAGTCTATACTCCAATTGAGAAGTGTAATGAATGCCATGATTTGAACGTGTGTGTTTTAGTGTATGATATCATCATATGGTTAGTGAGAGAGAGAGAGAGAGGGAGAGAAATATCTCCGTAAGTAGTACACGTCTATCAATGCGTGCAGTCATGTTTGATTCCGTATTGTGATCGCTACAAGTGCAAGTTGGATTTATCGATCGATGATAATGCAGTGTCAGATCTTTACTCATGAGGAAATAGTAATTGGAATACATCGCAAAACTAAGGTAGACCTCTAGGCCTAGATCTATTTATTTATTTCAATTACTTTCTTAATTTACAATGAGTGGCTTTCGAGCTTTCTCTCTATCATGTTTTGACCCTCCATGCCATGGCTAGCATGGCTCGATTGCGGTTTGCATGCAATTACCGTACCTGAATGAATGTACTTTCGCGCGAAGTTTTGAACTTGTTGTCCGGGCAATGACCATGATGACACGCCCATCCCTCGGGCCTGTCTAATTCTCAACGTAATTGAAATTGATTGTTTCAAGGCTCGTCTTACGGACGGCCAGGCGCGCGCGTAGAAGGAAATGTATAATTATGAGCTGGATATCTCCTATTTTATGGACATTCTGGAGTCGGCAGATGGGTGAGTTGTCTTAGTGAAAGTAAATGCTTTCTTTTAATCTTAGTTTTATTATAAACAAAGTTAGTAATTAAAAAGTTAGATTTGGGCATTGGCCTCCCGGCGCTAGAGTAGTTCCGTATCCATTTTTTTAGCAGTTTAATAATCCATTCTTAGGCTTAGCAAAGGAATTTTAGCCCAATTTGTTACTAATTTGAATCATAATCATGATATAGAGGTCTAGGGCCTATTGCATTTTCCACCTGAATTTGGATCACATCCGACATCGGGAAACCTCCGTTTAGTTTAGGGCTTCGATGTCGACGTCGTTGCTCAGTACCATCTCTACGCTATAGCTCTGCACCTCAAACTGAAGCTATCAGTCCAAATTATGCACATTTCTCGCATGCACGATACCATAAACCATACGAGAAGTTTGCATAATTTTGGACTGATAGCTTCAGTTTGAGTTGCAAAGCTATAGATCTAGCGTAGAGACGGTACTGAGCGACAACATCGACATCGAAGCCTTAAATTTTTAACGGAGGTTTCCTGATGTCGGATGTGATCCAAACTAGTCTATGTCTAGGTCTAGATCAAACTTTGGCAAACCCGGACTTTGTGCCAGCTGAAATCTCAGTTTAGAATCTATTATGGATTTATATCATAATATTAATTATGCTAATGATGCAATATAACATACCAAACTTGATGATTTTTATCATTTGGACGTCTAAAAGCATTTTAAACCAAAATACAGCGAAGTAGGGGATCTCCTCTTTGCTTGATGCGAGATACTAGCGAACTGAACTAACCGATAAAACTATGGTGAACTAAAAAAAGAAAAGAAAATCAAACCACCTCTGAAATTACCCTTGAAATGTTTATTAATTTTTTCTTCCGATTGCTCACATGATAGGGCAGGTTGGGATGGGATACGGGGGGGGGGGGGTGCTCATAGTCGCCAAATTTGGTAAAAGGGCAACTGGCCTTGGGGCAGAATAAGAAAAGAGCCACCCCGGAAAAAAATTAGAAAATGATTACAAAGAAAAATAGTAAATATAATTTAGCCCCCCCCCCAGCCGTTGCCCTTTTACCCCAAATTTGGCGCTATTGAGCACCCCCCATCCCATCCCAACCTGCCCCTATCATGTGCGCAATATCGGAAGAAAAATTAATAAACATTCAAGGTAATTTCAGGGGTTTGATTTTTCTTTTCTTTTTTTAGTTCACCATTTTTATTCGGTTATTTTTCAGTTCGCTAGTAGTTCTTCTCGCATCACAAGAGGAGATCCCCTACTCGCTGCTATTTTTGGCTAAAATTGCTTTTTATGACGTCAAATGATTAAATCACAGTTTTGGTATGTTTATATTTGCATAGATCTAGGGTCTATATTGATCTGCATAATTAATATTTTGATATTAATCCATAATAAACTGAGATTTTCAGCTGGGGCACTAAGTCGGGTTTGCCAAACTTTTAGACCTATGGCTATGAATTAAAATTAGTAAAAAATTGGGCTAAATTTCCTTTGCTAAGAATGGATATGAAACTGCTAAAAAAAATGGACACGGACTACACTAGCGCCGGCCTCTATAAACCTCTGAGTCTGCTCTGTACGGTAAGCGGTACAGGGGTGTGTTTTGACTAACGTGTGGCTGCAAACATGACTTTCCATGCAGCATAATGAGAAGGAAATCTCGAATAATCAACTTACCTAAACGACGTGTACAACTAAGGTCAAGATTCGGCTTCACAAGGCAAGATTTTGTCCAAGAGACAAACCACAAAGTGACGATGCTCTCGCGACGACAAATGTTGTTGTTGTGTTTTGGTTTAATGGCGATTAGTCAGTAATTTGACTATTGTCACCAAAATACTTTACGGCACGCGTTATATCTCTCATTTTTGTATTTTTTAAAAATATATTTATTTCGTTTTATATTTATCTATCTTTTAAGATAGTATCGAAAAATAATATTGTAAGCAAAACATTCATGGGCTTTGTTAGTGTTTTTTAACAGTACGTGCAGATTATTTGTTATATCACATACACACAATACATACATGTAAATGTATTAAAAAAAAGGCATTACGGTATTCTCTAAAACAAAAATAAAATTGAAAAGAAAGAAATCTTGCAAATTAAATTCATCAGGTAATTCACCAAGTCTATGTTATCTACAAATTGATTGATATTTTTATTGTAAAAAGATATCGTAGACTACTCTTGCAATTAAAACTGAGGCATCTAAACAAATAATTATACATAATACATTTATAAAGCTCTGGGTTTTCCTTGTGCTTGATCATTTTTTAAAAATTCTGTAGGCTAACATTCTTATTCTTTCTTTCAAATCAAATCATAAATGCCCATATTTATTTCACTTGAATATTGATATGAAAATCTCATTTTCAGTTTAAATAATCATAATAGGCAACACTTTGGTCTTTGTCCAGTAAAGCCATGTCCCAAATGAATTTTGGTTTTCAACTTAACTGCCAAGTCTTAAATGTAAGAGATCCATCATCAGTGGTGGATCCGGGGGGATGGGGGTGGACACAATCGACGCCCCCTATTTTTGTGAAAACCACTCATTGACTGCATGTTAAAATCATAAAAATTTGGGTGCACCCCCCCCCCCCCCCCCCATTTTCGGATCCCCCTTTTAAATCCTAGATCCGCCACTGCATTATCTTGTCACAATCACAATGATCATCACAACAATCCTACCAAGGATCACCCTTATGATGACCATAATCATCTTCATCTCCATATACATCATTATCATCATAATCATCATCATGCACCATCATCATTATCAACATCATATCATCAATATCTTCATCAACAACATAATTGTCATAAACACAAAAATGGACTCGAGTTGGCTTATAAATTAAAAAAACAAAAAATAAAATCTTTCAGATAATTATGTCAGTTCCATTATAAGCCAACCCGAGTCCACTTTGGTGCTTCACACATCAATTCCAGGACCAACCGAGACCGGTTTAAAATCTTTATGCAAACTCAATCCAGTTTTCAAATGGCATCATCTATACATTGTGCCACCTCCACAGGCCACCTCAGTCCATATCTAACACTTTTCTAAGACCACTTGAAGCACAATCCAATACAGTCCACTCCTGTTATAACGACATTTGGAAAAGTGCATAACATGCATTGTATCTAAACTCGATATAACAGGAATACTGTAATCTAATATGATAACACTATTACAACTTGAAACCTATTCACTCACTCCTCAAAGAAATAAGAATCATTGTATAACAATGCACATACACTGTACATGGCACATAGAATTCATCTCTACAATTCATTCATGGACAACACCATCCCCTGATTAGTATTTCAATCACATAAATAAATTTAAACAGTTATTCATGAAACTATATTAAAAAATACTTTAATACAAATATAAACACTAATAGAAGCAACTTTATGCAACTTTTCATCTGTATCATTGTATTGTTGATCCAATTGTATATGTTAAACACTACACATGCATCACAGAAAAAAATAGTATACCCAAATTTAAAAGCATCATATATATATGTATAAATTGTATGACCTTGTTTTATTTCATGTTAAAGATTAACTTATATTCTCTTCAATAATACAGAACTTAATTACTTTCATGGTAAGTTATACCTTATGAGGAAATAAGAGTACAGGGTACTTTTTTATGGGATGCACTATAACATATTTTGTTTTAAACTGTGCTAATAACTACTAAAATCTTCACAACAAATAAAACATTACAAATTAAATCTACCCCAGATGTGTATACTTTGCTCCTATTGTGAAACATTTCAAATGTTAATTTCTTGCAACAATCTAAACTTAGTAAATAACATTTTTTCAAATATTTCCTTACTTTCTGACGTACAATTAACACATTTTAGGAAAGCAATCATTCATATACATCTTTACACTTGACCTATTAATATCCATACGGCACAGGAATATTACCGGATCGATATAACTTTCATACGGAACGTATAATCTCTGTAATCATATTTTTTTTTACTTACTCTCTGTCATACAATTAACACATTTTAAGAAAGCAATCATTCAAATGCAACTTAATACTTGACCATGAACAGAAATATCTATAATGCACAAGAAAATTGTAACATATCTTACAGGATCGAACTTTCAAACCCAACAGTTTCAAACAAAACGCAAACAATGTGACGGAAGTTGATAAAATAGAACAATTATAACCAACATTATGGAGAATATTCTCAATACTCCCCCCCCCCCCCCAAAAAAAAAAGGTTGTCAGGCTCCAAAACTAACACTTAAAATTCACCTTTAAAATTACATGTATATAGTATAAATTGCTAACAAAAATATAAACAAGACAATTTATACAACTACGTCTAATATGCCTCCCCCTTAAAACAAATTATTTCAAAAAAGGGTGACATCTGTGGCCCTTGACCTTTAACCTCTGTATTCCAACAGTTAAAACCAACAACTATGTATAACCATATCCAAAACAACAAAATCACATTTAAATGTACGATTGGGGTCAAAAGTTTACATATCATAGAAAATATAAAACAAACATTTTTACCACAATAACAAAAATAAACTTCATTTTTTTAATAAAAATGGAGTTTTGCATATATTTGGTAACATAATTTTTTGGAGGTTTTTCTGTTTAGTGAAAATTTAATACATGTTTACATAGGAAAAACATAATAATACTATATTTCTAACTAAAGTATGCATGTCTAGGTATTTGGGTTTGTTTACCAATATAACAGTATCAAAAATAGTTTCATTAGCATCATGCTCATCTGGAAAACAATTAAATAATCATACTTTCTGCACAACATAATTGATAATACTTACATTGATTCAATCTAGGTCAAATGTTACATATCTAAAATAATTAGTGGCACTGCCTGTAATTTGCATTATTTTTGATTATCCATATTTTTTCAAGCAAGATCACAAAAATGAAAGCTCTATTGAGTGTATACCTTTTATTTTTATTATCTTACTTTCTGACCTACAATTAACACATTTTAGGAAAGCAATCATTCATATACATCTTTACACTTGACCTATTAATATCCATACGGCACAGGAATATTACCGGATCGATATAACTTTCATACGGAACGTAAAATCTCTGTAATCATATTTTTTTACTTACTCTCTGTCATACAATTAACACATTTTAAGAAAGCAATGATTCAAATGCAACTTAATACTTGACCATGAACAGAAATATCTATAATGCACAAGAAAATTGTAACATATCTTACAGGATCGAACTTTCAAACCCAACAGTTTCAAACAAAACGCAAACAATGTGACGGAAGTTGATAAAATAGAACAATTATAACCAACATTATGGAGAATATTCTCAATACTCCCCCCCCCCCAAAAAAAAAAAGGTTGTCAGGCTCCAAAACTAACACTTAAAATTCACCTTTAAAATTACATGTATATAGTATAAATTGCTAACAAAAATATAAACCAGACAATTTATACAACTACGTCTAATATGCCTCCCCCTTCAAACAAATTATTTCAAAAAAGGGTGACATCTGTGGCCCTTGACCTTTAACCTCTGTATTCCAACAGTTAAAACCAACAACTATGTATAACCATATCCAAAACAACAAAATCACATTTAAATGTACGATTGGGGTCAAAAGTTTACATATCATAGAAAATATAAAACAAACATTTTTACCACAATAACAAAAATAAACTTCATTTTTTTAATAAAAATGGAGTTTTGCATATATTTGGTAACATAATTTTTTGGAGGTTTTTCTGTTTAGTGAAAATTTAATACATGTTTACATAGGAAAAACATAATAATACTATATTTCTAACTAAAGTATGCATGTCTAGGTATTTGGGTTTGTTTACCAATATAACAGTATCAAAAATAGTTTCATTAGCATCATGCTCATCTGGAAAACAATTAAATAATCATACTTTCTGCACAACATAATTGATAATACTTACATTGATTCAATGTAAGTCAAATGTTACATATCTAAAATAATTAGTGGCACTGCCTGTAATTTGCATTATTTTTGATAACCCATATTTTTTCAAGCAAGATCACAAAAATGAAAGCTCTATTGAGTGTATACCTTTTATTTTTATTATCTTAGATGTATGAAAGAAGTTTCTTGAAAGTTACCAAAAGCAAAAATAATAATAAAACTAAAGGAAAATACAGGCAATGTACATCACCAATTATATCCAAATCAAAATAATATTAACATGAACATGTACTTTATACCTTCAACTAAAACCCAGAGCCATTAGTAAACAGAGTTTGGCCAACTCGGTTACATTTGGGTAACAACATGGCGCATTTTCTTTTGTATTGTGCTTGCCTAACAAAGCAATATGCGCCATGTTATAACCTAAACGAGCCGGGTTGGCCGAACTTTGTTTATTGATGGCTCTGCTAAAACCTATACATCCTAAGGTAAAGTCTTACATAAACTTAAACATCATCCTGTCTCAACCTGACGCACACCATGACCATCCCCTCCTGCCGGATGCTCAAGATCCCCCTTGTGGGCAGATGGTGCAGGTTTACTTCAATATTGGATTGACCATTGACGGTGACCTCGTATTCTGTTCCATCACATTCGAAAATCAATTCATATGGTAATTCCAGGCTGTAAGGAAACAGACAAACACAATATTAGATGAATATTCAAATAATCCCCAAACCAAACAATATTATGACAAGTGTTCTTCCAAACACGCTTTGATCCTACTCCTGTGTATAAATGGCACAAAAGGCTTTCTTCTCCAAACCTATATCACTTCATGATTTTAAAAAAGATGATTCTATACACCAAGAGAAAAATCAAATTAATAATACTGACAGTTCTGAATATTTCTTACAATGAAATTATTGCTTTAATTGGTCAAAAAATGAAGGCATATAGGGTTGTGGTCACGACAATGAATTGTGGAGAAAAAAATCTGTCTATAGATGCATCTGAAAGATGGTAACAGCTAGTTCACCTAATAATTGTTGTGGTTTTTGATGCTTTGGAATTGCCAAAATGATATTGATATGAAATTGCTTTAAATTGCTTTAATTGGTCAAAAACTGATGGCATAGTGTTGTGGTCATGACAATGAATTGTGAAAAAAAAATCAGTCTGTAGGTGGATTTGAAATATTTTTTTGAATTTCTTTTTTTTACAATATTCTGCTAAGAATCACATCCAACCCACAAATAAATGCATATATTGAGACTAGGCCTACATGTTTCCAATAGATATTTCATTTTTTTTATCTGTCATAATATGAGTATGTAGGAAGGCATTTGAAAAGTAATCTTTGCCACTGGACTATTTTACTAAACTATAGTTAAATATTATATTATGTCTAAATCAAATGAATATAATTTTTTTCACACTACAAGCTGTGCAGTAGATTCTCTGTTCTTCATGTCTTTATCAAAATTATTTCCACTGAATATATGTTCTTGTATAGATCTACAAACCATAACTCACAAAAGGAGAACACTTTAAATAAATTCATTAGTATAGCTGGTAAGTTACATACATGTACTTGTACATGTACCAGCTGATACAGACTTGCCTGATTTTTCGATCAATAAAAACATGCAATATGACCTTTTGACCCCTCAATGACCTTTACCCTCATCAACAAACATGTTGTATTACCCACTGATAAAGGATGCAAAAATAAAGTTAGACCCTGACTGGACCAGAAAATGAAATAACTAAATTACACATCAAAAATAAGCTAATAAGCTACAAGACAACAAAACCAAATTTAAGCGTTTTTCATTGGCCATCTACACTGTAGCTAGAAAGTGATTCCTTCCAAAACACTCAAAAATTGGCAGCTTCAAAATTGGTACTTTATACTTCAATTACAAAGTGGCCTGAATTATTGCTACATTGGTGAGTAACATCAAAGAATGTGCATATAGACGTCTAGCAGCCAGGAATGATTGTGTTTGCCCTTTCATTTCATAATAGACCCTCAACACACACAGGTCCACAGTTATGGAATGGTTTGGTTTTTTTTCCCTGAAGGGCAAACCCATAATCGTGCCTGTCTACCGGACAGCTATAGCATATTCCATGCACATCATTTGACGTCACTCCCCTGCACTATACAATTAAAAGTCATTTTCAAGTACTGGGGACCGGGGGGAGAGAATAGCCTAGTTGAGGTACAATCATGTATACCAATATGAAAATTAAGATTTAGTTTTGTATATTTATATTATTTTCCTACTTAGCTTTCCATTGATACAAGTTGTATTTGGGCAGTTCCAAGGGTACGGCGTTATTCAGAAACAAATTTCAGCATCCAAACAAATTTATCATCCATACTTTAATCTTTATTTACCAGTACAAAGAAATGGTACACGACAATAGTTGTTGGTACCCATGCACTTTTCAAAATAATAATATGTGTTGTAGTGATCCACTTAATTAATGAGATATAAATATTCATAAGCTTGCATGGTTACGGAGTGACGCAAAATGGACATGCATATTTGAGCAGAAAACATTTTGCTTAAACTGGGTGAACTTTAAATAGATATCACAAGTTTGAGTTATTGATTGGATATGGTGTTCTTGGTGTCTTTCATAAGAAAATTGGTTGATTATTTTGTGATACGGAGTGGTATCTGGTTTCCCTGTGTATTTTGGGGTATTTTGTGAGAAGAAATGCTTGTAAAGACAAAAGTTTGTTAGAGTATAGTCCATGATAATTACTTTAAGCCAAAAAAATCAGAGAAAAGCAACTAGATATTTAAAGCACCATAGTCCCATATGTGCAAATTTGGGTTTGATCAATTATTCAGCGTAAGAAAACTGAATCTCATAATGTTTGAACTTAAAGACATAGGCTAACGTTGTAGGCATATAATTTAAAAAATATCAAAATCAAGAGGAATATGTATGGATAGCTTTATGTCAACTCAAAAACCCCAAAAGCATCAAAAATTTGGAATGAAACGCTTTAGATAAGTATACGTCTAAAACACAGATTTTGAGTATTTATTCTCGCCGCGAGAAAAATTACAACGGCCGTTACAAGAATCGATCACTAGATATCGTTAAATATCATTTTCAAACATTGCTTCAGATTTTCAATATTTAAAAATACTTCCCATAGATATTACGATTTGAGACATTCCGATTGGTCTTCCTAATTAACTCATACGTTTATACCATTTTCAAGGAACAAAATTAGATTTAAAAGAAATTTAACAAGAAAATTGCAAGAACCAACCGTTAAAAAAAGATTGATATCGTTTCCAAACATATTGTATCACATTTTCGCTATTTGAAAAAAATTTCCTGTAGATATTTTCATATGACACTTTCAGATTGGTGTTTTTAAACTATAACTCATGTACGTTTAAATCATTTTCAAGTAGTAAAACAAGCTTTTTTAAAATCCTAAAGACGTTAGCCAATGCCTTTAAATGATTGGTTGTAAAGAGGCCTTTGTGTTAATTTCAGATCCTAATTTGCATTTACAAATTAAGGCACAGTACCACATTAAAGTTTCAGCTCCATGCATGCACTTCAGCTTGGAATTGCCCATTTACTCACCGAGTATCACTCAACCTATATGACTGAGTGGATGCAAAAATATAACGCAACAAAGAATAAGAAAATAACAAAAATTGGAATTCCCTATACTTTAACACATATGCCTCCACCGTACGTAGGATCCTCCACCATACATGTAGGATCCTCCACTCTCTACCCTATACTCACTCAAATTATCTTTGTATAAAAACTAGGACGACAAAGCTGAAACTTCACAGACATGTAACCTGATAATTTATCTACAATATGAGACATTGTACAGCTCATGACTGTACATTGTTTTCATGCTATGTGAAAAAATGTGATAATTTTTCCTCCAAAATGTAACGCCTCCACCCTCTTACTATACCCCAATGTGACACATGACCTTATGATCAACTATAATCATTATGACACAAAAAAAGCCGAAAATAACACATACTTCAATGAGCAATTCCCACTTTTATAAAGGACACAAAACAAGGCTGCGCAGGAATTCATTATTCATTTAACATGCTTATGTGCCGCCATATGGGTCAAAATCAATAACGGCATAAATCAACTAACGAAGACAAAAGCAAACTAAAAGTCAAAACAATTAAACATTAATAATACATGTATGAAAACAAACCGTTAACCATTACATTTTTACATTTAAATATTGATTGTCTATTTTTAACTTGTAGTTTAATTATGACTATGTTAGCTGATTTATTACATTATTAATTTTGATCCCCATGGCAACCCATACGCCTGTCATAAATGAATAGCTAATTCCTGCACAGCCTCTTTTTTGTGTCCTTTACAAAAATGGACATTGCTCACTGAAGCATGCATTATTTTTAGACTTTTTGTGTCATGATAATATTTGAGGATATATGAACTTTTTCTACATAGTATATAAACATTTCCCCCAAGAACCATTTAGTTTTTATTTGGTAGACATTTTGAAAATGTATAGTTTTCATTGACACGCACTGTATAGAGGACTTCCACTTCCCTTTTCCACAAAATCTCAAAATTGATATTTGACCCCAACCAACTGATACAACAGTTTCAATGAACGCCAAAGATACATAGTTCCTGCAATACCACAAGAATGACAAACACAAACAGACCAACACACGTCAACCCAACAAAATTACCCTTTTTTACCTCTGGTAGACAAAATGTTGAAACAAAAAATATATTTAAATTCAAACAAACTTACTTGTCACTCGTAAGAGCAATAACTTGGCCAGTCTTATCCTCATCATTCATTACCACTGGCTGCAATAAAACAAACATAAAGATATATAGCACATATGTGCAACAACAAAATAAATATGAAATTAACATAGTAAATTAAAACCCAATTCATTTCAAAATAATTCATAGAATAACAATCCACATTTCACAGAAAAAATAGCATAATGCCATGTAATATAAACTTACAACCCCAAAATGGTGTTTATTGTATGCTTTTCCAACTCTTCCTGCTTAACATCTCCGCTAATGCTTTGACTGCAATAAGATGCAGAATGCACATTTTGCAATTGCCTACATGTATACCCATTGATCAACCTGTCTGATTATTCTTAAAGTCAAAATAGGGGCTTTATTCTTTGACCTTTACTCAACAACAGATGGCACTATACAATAACAGCTAGTATTGTAACAATCTCCAATTCTTCATTTATACCATGTATGTCATGTATCCAAGAACAAATATGGATTTTATTGAATCAATTGTTATTGTTGGCATAAATCTAAAAGCACAATTTCTTTTTCCCAGACATTTATCAAAACTTTGTGGTGACACTGCTCAAAAACATAACTCTGTCATGCATTACATATCATATTTACCGGGGGCTTCTAATCAAAACGTTTCTTGGAACATACCAGTATAATAAAAACTAAACCAACTTAATCATAATTCTTTTGTGAAAATTCAGTGCCTTTGATATCATATATCCATGATAAAGCTATTAATAATATTACTATATTAATATTTATAATGCACTTTTCCCATATAAAGGCTCTAAAATCGCTATATTATTACCCCGTTCCTTGAATTCAATTCCAGCTGCCATTTAACATTTTATAGGCGTGTATATCATCCTCCCAGGTATGCATCTACACCTGGATGGAGTGAAGCTAATGTAAGTAAAATGCCTTGCCCAAGGAAATAAGTGCCGGGGATCAAACCCACTTTCAACTTTTCAACTATTGTATGCATACAAACCTCAACACGCATGGCTGACGTCGAATCCAATTGTTTTACGTTGTTCCATTCCGAAACCTCCACACACTCGATTTTGAGTCGATCATTCATGTGAATGGGAATGTCCGTATGTTCTTCCCAGAGGCTAAGCCGAATGGACTCCTCTCCGTCATTTAACGAGACTGTGCGTATTCTCTTCCCTCCTGCGACATTACGGACTTCTCCAACCTACACAAATACAAAATATGAACTACAAAACTCACCCATAGTTCAAATATACTAATAAATAAAAACTTATAAACCTAAAATATACAATGTAGGCCGTACCCAAAAATTACAGGGCCACTCTTTATATTTCCATTTCAAATGAATCTCATTGCAAAAGCATTGCCAGGTTCAAGAAATGAGATTATCGTAGCAAACAATATCGTAAATGCAAGATTCCATAGCAGTTTGCAGAAAATCCATCCCTATTTGGGTGATGGGCTCAAACTTTAAGTCCAACAATTACCAAAAGAGCCCCTGGAACCTTAAATCGAAAAAACATGTTTCGACATTTGCAGATCAGGGAAACTTCCATTATGGGCGAGGGTGTGGAAGCAAAGCCCCCAGAACATCGTACAGATCGAGGGTAAAATTAATACACAAATACAAATAATTATCATACAACTGACAAAGCTTGGCATACATGTACATTGCTGCGGTCTCTTTTTTCCACCTCCGTCCACAGACTTAATTTGTACAGAAGTCAATGCGTGCGTACGAGTAAGTGGTCACTAAAATGTTGCAAAAAAAAAAAAAAAAAAACACTTACCTCTTCCACATTCGCCATTACGCTAACACGCTTCTTCGTCGGCGACGCTTTTACTTGTGCAATGTTAAGAACAGGTGGGCTTAGGTAGTTCTGTACGATTTCATCCGGAAAATCAAAACCTGCAATCTTGTAGAAGAACTGAAATAAAAATGAAAAGAAAATTCATAAATTTCAATTAAAATCAGCTTTCCAATCATAGATCTATCACAAATAGATACCCTCAAATTATAGACTCCAACCACTTATTTGTTGAGTGTTCAAAAGGATCTAGGCCCATTTCATTATTTATACATTCAATTTAACCCGATATTTGTTTTTAGCAACACCTATTGCTGATCCATCTCGAACAACACTGGTCAACTGGAAGAAGAAGAAGAATTTTTCAGGCCTGACCCCCCCCCCCCCCCCCCCCCCAAGGGTCTAGGGTCTAGATCAAAGTTTGCTAGATCTACTTGTTTTTTTAAATTTTATTATTGATTTTTGCCTTGGTCTTGGATTTAGATGAAACTGGGTTTCAATCATGCTTTTGGTTTTGCTAGACCTATAAGTTGGTATTCTATTAGCCCTAGGAACGCAGGCAGCTTTGCAGGCAGCAAGAACGCAGGTTCTAACTTTTTAGGCTCATCCAAAATAAGTGAGTAATATTTTCATGCCATCCTCATAGCCTAGGGCAAAAATCTGAAAATATATTTTTTAAAATTATACCTACCTGGCATCTTTGTTCCTTCTTCAACAGTGACGGGCCATTTACTTTTTTTCCCCAAGATCATTTTTGTGCCAAATTCCGTGATTTAGACGGGTCGTTCATTTTTTCGCATGTTATATTCCCACTGTGACTGTTTTGAAACATCGCAAACGATACCGCGCACGCGCGCCATGCCGGCATTAAGCGTCGCTGGGTACCGTTTGCGAAGTTTCAAAATGGCAGTGGAATTATTATAATTATAACACGGGGAAAAAGTGAACGACCCGTCTAAATCACGGATTTTGGCACAGAAATGATCTTGGGAAAAAAAATTAAATAGCCCGTCACAGTTAAGGAAAGAACAAAGATGCCAGGTAGCTAAAAAAAAAATTAAAATATTTTCAGATTTTTGCCCTAGGATGGCATGAAAAAATGACTCACTTATTTTGGATAGATGAGCCTAAAACGCAGGCAGCAAAGCTGCCTGCATTCTCTAGATCTGGCCTAGGCACAATAAGTTAGTTACCAATACCAAATTATTGTAATTTCTTGCATTAAGACATCCTTAAAAATTAAGGTTATAGTTAAATACAGATAGGGGTACTACTCTGTCTAGATCTACCAACCTTGGTGTTATGGTTGACCAGTGCCTTCTTAGCGATTCTGTCTATAACAATATTCTTGGCTCCAAATGATGTAAGCACCTCAAGAGCTTCCAATTTCCGTACCACAGCTTGCATCCCAATTAGATCGTTGACAAATATGTCAAATAATTCCTCGGGATGCCCTTCCACCCCCACTTTGCCTTGCATAAACGCACGTCCACTTCTCGAGTTCTTGACAATGAAATTTCCAACCAACAGAAGTTTGGTAATGCTCGACATCTTAATTATCACGCAACAATACCGGTCGGTACTACCAGCGCAGCTAATTCTATATCATCTGCTGACGAACCTCAGCGCGCCATGCACCGGTCACATCTATAATACCAATTTATAAAAGCCATGTGTCAGCATTATTTGATGGAAAATTTTGGGATATACAATGTACGAGTAGCCTAGAGGAGCTAATAAAATAACCTTGCTTTAAAATAAATAATAAAAAATCCTAACCAAAGACTATGAATTCCAGCAATACATTTGATTTTAATGATAGTACGTTAAAAGTTAAATAGGTCTAACAACACCAAGTAAGATGAAATCACATGAGTTTTCATAATCCCCCCCCCCCCCCCATCCTAAATGGACACGTCTATAACACGGTACCCTAAATATAGGCATATTACTGGACAAGACGCCGCATGAATTTTGCATAATTAAATAACGTCACATAAAAAAAAAAAAAAAAAAAAAACATAGAGGAAGACATTGCTCCTCCCCACAGAACAAAGCAGTAACTGTAATGGAATGTATTGTGCAGTATTTTATTTACAACACTATATGAAATCTGATTCACTGACGTGCAAATTGTTGTTGTTTTCCAGTTTTCACGCTCTCTTTCTGTCTCTCTTCTTTAAATCTCTAACACACGTTCTCAGCCTGTCCTATTATTTTTCCTTTCCCCCCCCCCCTCTCTCTCTCTCTCTCTCTCGGTGTATTTCTTACACTTCTAGTGGGGGTTGTTAGGGATATTTTGGTTCACATTCTTCCAAAAGCACCAAATTTGGCACATGGGTTGCCCATACCATACTATTTCGATTTTTGGTTGGCACCCGAGAAGGACGTCCCCTCGGGCCGCTGTAATGGTCAAACCAAAATGGCCGCTATCTTAGTGAGATGTCGACTGTACTTTCTATTTTAAAAAAGGGCTAAAATAGCACAAATTGATACTAATCTGGGGTTATATGGGTCAGTGAATCTGAATATGATGCTATTTAACCGATTTGATGTCATCATATTGCCCTAGTGGCTCTATAATGTTCATACTGATAAAAACAGTAATTTATGGGAATATTATTCTATATGACAACAAAGAAACGTTCCATCTATAGGAATTGTGTGAAAGTAGGTGTGTTATTAGGGTCTATGACATCTCGCAAGTACCTGGGTGTTGTCATCACATACACGACGTGCAACCAGCACATTGCTAGCTTGTTCCACAAACCAAACAACACTCGTGTTTTGTTCTCGAGAAAACTTAACATTAACTTCAGACCATGGCATATGCCTATAGAAAGTCGGTCTATAAGTGGAATATTGTGTGCGCTGTTATTTGAAACATAGTAATCTTCATAATTTTCCCAACAATTTGATACCATGTAAAGCATTTCATGACCATTGATAACGGAATGAGCGTCCGTTCAAGATGGACGTACGTGCGCGCGAGTTTTCTCAATACATAACATGGCCAAAAATATGCCTACATGTACACAAAATCCATTATAACTCTTCAGGATGAACGGGAGCCCCCATTTTTTTTCTTCATATTTGGATAGAATATGAGTCGGGAATATGATTTCATGTCTTTTTTTGTCCAAAAGTATATCATGACGTCATCATAACGGCCTAAGAACTTAAAAATACTAATTTTTACTTAATGACGTCATAACTTTTGTACAAAATTGAGTGTACATGAACATGTATCTCAGTGCATATTGGTTGTTTTCTATCAATTTTGGAGATGGTATAGCTGAGACGATTTTATACGAAAGTTGTGTATTTTATTTTTGATTTAGGTCACGGCATCATGGTCTAAATTTGCAATTAAAAGGATGTCATTTTTCACATTTCACATTACAGTACATACCACCGATAATTAGGTGGTATGTATCACATACCACCCTCTTGTTAGGTGGTCTGTCAACGACAGATCACCTATTGTTTTCGTCAGAATTTTCTTTCTTTATTTATTTATTTATTTATTCACTTTTTTGTGGACAAGATAACTCAAGATCAGTTTGATCAATTTCGTTCAACTTTGGCACAGTCATAGGTCATTGTCATGAGACGTGACAGAAACATTTTCAAGGTCATCAAGTCATCGTGACGTCATCCAGGCGCCATTTTGTGAAATCACGTTATCCATCATATCTTCATGACGCATGAGCAAAGGTCATTCATATTCATATCACATACACTTCAGGTCAAGAGTCAACAACGCATGTCATCAAAGGTCACATAAAGGTCATGACGCGCACGTACGCGCACGTCAAAATTTTAAAATGCTCAAAATCACTTAACTATTGAACGAGAGTACGAATCAGGTCATTTTAAGCATTTCAAATTTTTCCGTCCGTACGTGTTCCCCGCGCGCGTTGCGCGCGCGCACAGCGCGCAGAAAACGTCAAATTCAAATTTTGTACATGATTTAGATTCCTCTTACCGTAAATGACAATTTACATTAATTTCAGTCACTCTTGACCTTTCATAAGGCTGTGAGCGCGCGTCAAAGTTCAAAATCCGCGCGTACTGCTATGGGCAATATAATGCAAATTTGATCAAAAACACGACATTTTAAAAATCAAAATAGCTCTTCAGATAGTCAATTGACCCCAACTTTTATATCATGGTTGGAAAAAGCATGAGTTGGAGATATGATTTCATGTCTCATTTGACCCTCAATTAACTCATGACGTCATCATAATGGCCTCCAAACTCAAAATTTTAATTTTCATATTATGACGTCAGCAGATTTTTGGAAAATTGATTGTATCTCTGTAAATATTCATCAATTTTCTTTCAAATTTTGATATGTTCTACCTGAGAATATTCTCTACAAATGCAGTTTCCACAATATTTCATTTTGACAAAAGCATCATGGCGTATTTTTAAGATTAAAGGAGGCATGTCAATTTGTCACATTTTGCGTGTATTCTCTATGGGACATGACTTTTTCTCAAAACTGGATTCTACATTCTCGTCTTTCGCGAGCAATATCTCCGTCGTTTTATCTTTGTTTACGCTGAGCTTTGAGTATGTTGTAGCTGAGACAATAAGCTATCACAGGTGTGCCCTTTATTTTTCGATCAGATGCCGGGATCATGCTCATATTTCACTTACAAAGTGGGATTTGAGAATTCCATTTTCCGTTTACGTGTAATCTCTATGTGAAATGTTTTGGTATATCGGTAACGCACTTGACTTCCGACATCGAGGTCCCTGGTTCGAGTCCGGGCGTCTCCAACAATTTTTTTTCTTCACTTTTTTTTCTTTTTGACCTTTCACTGTACCATCTCATTTGAATATTAAAACACGTAGAATCGCAACAAATGTAATAAACAACTATATTTAATTTATTATTACCCTATTATCACTTGATCCATTACTTTTTGCTTGTAATACTTATGGGAGATGACTTTTTCTTAAATCTGGATTCTACATTCCTGTCTTTTGCGAGCAATATCGCCGTTATTTCCGCTTGTTTTTTGTTGATTTTTGAGTATAATGTAGCTGAGACTATATGCTATCTACATCTCCCTCATTTTTTCAATTAGATGTCAGGATCATGCTCACGATCATGATCATGATCATGATCATCAACATCATCATGGTCATCATCAACATTATCATTATCATCGTCATCATCGTCATCACCATTACTATCAAGATCATCATCATCATCATCATCATTGTTTACATGTCTATATAACTTATCCCATTCTCAAATCTATCATAAGACTTAGACAGACCACCTTATTCGTCTTCGTGACGAATTCAAGTCTAGTTTTTTTTCTTTTTTGACTTTTCAATGATCATAAAATTGAAAACAGACCACCTAATTCGTCCCCATGACGAATTAAATTTCTAGTATTTTAATTGAATTTGTACAAAAACACAATTCAATTAAAATAAATTTGTGACCACTTTTTTGTGTGCACAATTACTCAAATTTGAACCGTCCAATTTCTTTCAAATTTAACACAATTATAGGTCATCATCTTAAGACGTGACAGGAACATTTTCAAGTTCATCAAAATATCATGACGTCATCTAGGCGCCATTTTGTGAAGTGCTCTGAGAATCAACTCATGATCATATCTTCATAACCGTAAATCATTTCTCATTCATATTTATAACGATTATGGTCAATATCCGTCCGGTCAACTTAGGTCAATAAACGCGTGCGTACGCGTCCGTCCGCGCGTCGGTGCGCGCAAAAACAAAAAATGCTCATAATCACTTTTTGATCAAATTAGAGTACGTTTTAGGCCATTTCAAGCATTTCGAGAATTTTGCGTGCGCACACCTTTTCGCGCGCAAAATTTGCGCGCACGTTTTTGTTCGTAATAGTCGAAC